ATATATATATATATATATATATATATATATATATATATATATATATATATATATATATATATATATATATATATATATATATATATAGTTTTAACTCGCAATATGAACAGTTTTTGAGTGTTTTCGGAACCAGAAAAACAAGTTTGTAGATTTCCTATGGCATCGCGAAGCAAATCGTCCATCTTTCTACACGTGATCGAAGAAGAACAACGTGAAATGAGGGTTATATATATAGTGTACCAGTGGGTTACGCGGGATACGAAGGAATCGATCGATAACGCGCGGAGGCCTGGACGCGGGTCAATGATGCGTCCGACTATCTACGAGGAGTCCGACTGTCTACGGAAAAAAATTTGCGGCGACGACGGCCAAAACAAATTCCTTCAAATAAATGATATAGTAAAGAAAACTTGTCGCATATTATAATTCGTATGAATTTAATACAATATAAGAATGTGAAAACATTGCCATTATGTTTGCGAAGAGTTCTACTGAACCGAATTTTAAGTTGCACTTGCACTTGTTACGGCTTGAAATGCAGGCGTTGTATAAAAGACGTGAAAATCTGTGATTTACCGTTGTAAACAGAGCTACGACCACGTCTGAAACTCCCCTGTGACTTTAATTATTTCTTTCTTTTCATTGACTCACTGTATTGGTTGCCGTCGTCGTCGTGTTGCCGTCTTACATGCTTAAGCTCCCTAATGATGCTAACCAGCCTGTTGCCAGACATTTTAATACTGGCAATCACAGTGTTTCAAATTAATATAAAAATTTGACCCGTCTGTCCCATTTCTGGAAGCAATGATAACCCCAAAAAGACATGAAATATAATGAATTATGCGCCTCATTTCCGAAATTTGGCACTATCCACCCCTATGGCATTAACGAACATTTCTCCTTTTTTGTAGCTTTATCTGTCATTGCCTTTCGGAAGTAGGACACTGACAGTATTTTAAATTCTTACCTTATTCTATACTTGTTTCATATTTTTTTTGGCTTTGTACAGTATTTGTTGTAGTTTTCTGTATATATGTATCAATATATTCTGTAATTTACATTTTTTTGTAGACTTTGTTTTGACTATATAAATCCATTTGGTTGGTATATTTTTTGTCACGTGAGGGCTTTTATATTTTTTAGTATAAAACAGGGCCTTCGCTCGAAACGTCGAACTTCTCCTTATCAATCCAAAGAAATACCACATGGCCCCCTCAAGTCTCATTGAAGAACTCTTAGGAAGATAAGTATGAATATATAAAGAAAATGTTAAAAATAAGACAACATAATTATGTAGTGATTCAAAAGATATGAAATAATAAAAGTACCTTTGAGAAAACTGAAACTTCAAACGAGAGGAAATTTGCAAGATCAACTGTAAATGCAGACTGGATTGAGGCCGAAACTGACACTGATGTAGTCGTACTATCATTTGTGTTAGCAGGAGCAAAAAAATCAATGTGGATATCGACTGAATCATTGCTTCCCACAGTGACAATCTTGGGTGAAAATGAAGCAACGAATGATTTATCATCGGACGCCAAAATTGAGAAGGTGTTTCTCGAACCGTGGTTTTTGAGAAGTACAATAATCGACGTTGTTTCGTTTGGTGTTAAACTCAAACTGCTGTTCTGCACAGATATTTCGACCTCAAATTCTTGGGGTCTGATCACTCGAGATAGCAGACGCTGGATGGTTTCTCCATTTTTATTGTAGCCAAAATACATTATTTTAAATGCATTGTGGTTCAATTTAACCAAACCAAAATACGAGCTACTATAGAACTCTTGTCCTTGTTGTAATTCGAAACTTTCCAAACGATCTCCCGTCGTATCTATTAAGTACCCCGTGATGTTTCTGTTGGCTTGCAATGCGTCTTCTGTTGGTTCTACCGTCACGTATAACGATGTTCCTGCATAATTGGTCAAAAAGATTTTAATGAGGGGCGGTCGAACAAGGAAGAAAAAATGTACTCCCAAACACTTTAAGATTGTCAACAATTGTTGGTATACTAGCAACTTTAATTTAATTATACATTACAAAATTACTGCAATGTGATTGGTTAAGAGGAGTGCAATTTTTGCACTCCTGGTGAGTGCATAGTTATTAGACACCTTAAGATTGACGTATTTTTCGCAAACGTCTAACCGCTAGAAACCACGTGACCAGGAGCTTGCCGTCACGTTTGCCGTAAATCGCTCGCGTTTTAAACCTCAAGAGTGCATTCTACAGGTAAGTGATTTACCTCGGCATTTTATTCAACTGTTATTACTTCATTGCACGTATATGACATATATTAAGACAAATATACATCTTATATTTGATTTGGATGGATAAAAGTTGTTTTTAACAGGAAATTTTTCATATTCTGAGTGCTTTTAATTCGATATATAGACAACATGGCGCTCAATACGCCTTTTCCGGGTTCGCGACGCCATCTTGCCAAGTGGGCAAACACAATAGTGAAAACAATGGAATTCCTAGTAATTCCCTATAGGTAAATTTGCAAGTGGGGCAAGCACAATAGCGAAAACAATACTTTCAAGATGGCATCGCGAACCCCGAAAAGGCGTATTGACTCTCTAATTTATTTGGGTTAATTAACTAAACAAACATGAAAATTTCGATTGTCAGTTCAATATTTTGTGGCCGATTTTGGTATGATAGATTTCTTAAATTGAGATTTGTTTATTTTAAGTCGTGTTTTGAAACGTTTTGATTAATAAACGTTTACATTTGAACATTCACGATAAAGCAAGTTCAAAGTCATTGATGACCTTTTCACAGTCCGTGTTTAAACATACTTGCATATTTCTTACTTACATTTATACTTTCATATTTCAATTCATTTTAACAAATTGGTGGTGAAATTTATTTTTTTTTTGACAGGATGGCACAATTCAAATGGATCCTATAGTTTCGACGGAAAAAATTAAACGCGAAGAAAAACGTCAATCTTAATTTCATATTTGCAAGTACGGCAAACGGCGTGAAACCGCAAACGGCAAACCGCGGTTTGCGGTTAGGCGAAAATAAAATAAACGTCAATCTTAAGGTGTCTAATAGAGGAGATGGTTTGGAAACTCGTTAGCATTACAATAAAATCACAATAAACCTCCTTATCTATGTTGTTCAGGCAGTATGGAAAAATGTGGTCTTTCATCGTCACGTGCGTATTGTATTTTTCTCAAGTCAACCAATAGGAATGTTCAAAATGTCCTATTGTTAAAGTCATGGATGGGCAATTGGACAAAACCGTTGCTATTGGCTGGTTGAGCAAAAATACAATACGCACGTGACGATGAAAGACGACATTTTTGCATAAACCTGAACAAAAACATATAGATAGTGAGGTTTATTGTAGTGCTAATGAGTTTCCAAACCATCTCCTCTATTAACTATGGCGAGTGCAATTAATGATTTGAAAAACAAAACAAAATGGTCGGTGGCTCGCTTTGTAAATACAAACGAGTCTACAATCCACTTACTTAAAACAAAAGCAGAAAATCAAACTACAAACAAAAAACACTCACCTAAAACTCTCTGGCTGAACTTTAATATTTTGAACTTGAACAATTGTTTGTTAACCAACAAGAACGTGCGATTGTGTGGCCCCTTTTACACTATACCAGATTGCATCAGAGCGTTGCGTTTTCATACCGGATTCGGCTGCTGTTTACACTACGCCACAGTAATCCGGTACGCGACGCGGAGTAAAAATCCGCTTTGAAGGTGATATGAAAAGTAATCCGGTATGTGCCGGAGCTGTGTATAAGCAGGCCATCCGTTACGCTTCGGTACAAAATGGGATTTGGCGTGTATGTTTTAACATTGTCGCTTTTATTTGCTCGCTTTAACAATACATTATAGCTGTTGTTTGTTTCGCCTTACAACCATTTACTATTTCTGCCAAAGACAAATAAAGAAAACGACTTACTTTCGAAAGAGCGAAATTTAATGAAATGCTCGTCAATTTTGGATTAGAGAGAAAAGAAGCAACGTCTGGTGGTCAAGCATTTTAAACAAAGTTATACTTTACAAAGAAGAAGTGTGTTACTTCTTGTTTTAATAAATCAGTTTAGCATATTGGCAAAAAATGTTACTTGTTTCCATGGCGACAGTGAAAGACATGAGCTGGCAACAGAGCGAAGCGTCATTATGTAAACACCCTTATTTTCTACTTGGAGTGAAAAATAATACCGTATGCAAAGTAATCCGTATAGTGCATGTAAACGGGGCCTCGGTTTATATCGCGACTTCTCTTGGACATTTCGAATAAATATTTGAATTTTACATAAATCTTAAATTAAGGAAGACGTTATAGTAATTACTTAATTCTTGCACATATAGTTTAGATGTTTAAATAGACCAAAACGTGTCAAATTGTATAAGGGTCTCCTATAGGGGTTCTGTAGGGGACAAGGGAAGAATTGCAAAATATTAATAAATAATAATAGGATTAAATTAAGCCGAAAAATCAAGAGAACAAAGGAACGTGGTGAAATCTTTTGGGAACAAGGAAACAAAGAAAAACATTTCAAGACCCTTTCAAGTGTATATGTGACACAGACCCTTCTCTTTTGGGACTGACCTCAATTGTGACGCTCAAAAATATTTTTAGCTGGGGCATCTATCTTTCAAAACATTAAAAACACACATGGCTACAATTGACACATTGTTTGTGTTAATTTTTTATGTGTTATTATTCAGTTATCTTCATGAGTTGTTTGGATTTATCAATTACTTACTATACAACGCAATTAAAGTTTTAAAAGCTCCTACCTTTAATTGGGTTGCCTGCTATTGGAACAAGGATCTTCTCAAAGGTGCTAGAATATTCCTCCTTTTCAAGAGATGTTGTAAAGGCCAAAGTACTTTGTGCTGTAACTTGAAATGTAAGTGGTCCAGCTGCACTTACGGTAAAGCTCCATACACCAGCCGTAGGCATTATAACACGAACAGAATAAAAAGTCGCTGTCTGTGAGATCGTATTTATTGTTCCGTTGCCGTCTAAAACATAACAGATAAAGTTTGGTATCTGTTATTTTTGCATGACGAGTGGGCGTAGCCAGCCCGACGATTCAGTCCCGCTATGCTGAAATATTGCCATGTTTATAAACTATCAACACAATCAATTTCTAAAGAAACATTTTACATTTTATCACCTGCACATTTTACTTTTCAGTATCACTGCACACTAAAATTAGGCATGGGAAATGGTCATTCTGGACTTCTAAAATTCAAAATTTTCCGGGAAAGCATGTCCCAGGACTCTCCTAGCTATTCAAGTATCTAATATGCGCCACATTCTGTCCTTGTCGAAATGTGCACTTCTAAATCTTTCTTGGGATGATTGACCCCCGCCGTTCGAGTGATGTTTAATCTGCCAATCTGGTAAATTCTGGTATATGCTCACTATCGTATATAGGAAGCAATTTTGTATTTGGGGGGGGGGGGGCTGATAAGTCAGAGGTGATTATTAGGTCATTATTTCCCTCTCTCAAACTTTACAGATTATCGCTAGTTCACAAATTATTGGGGAGTGGCTGACGCCCCCCCCCCCTGTCTACGGTCCTGATGCTGAGGGTTGACGAGCAATGCCACAATATTACAAGCATTATAGTCTGCATGTGCATGCGTTAGTATGCTAGTTGGTGTTGGTTTCTTCGTGTTTAGATATCACTGTACCTTGAGGTGGAACTACTTTAATATTGGTATTTCCTCTAGCACTTAATACAGCTGTAATTGTAGAAATGGTAGAATCACTTCGAACATTGTAGAATTTCGTTACTAGGTGATAGGTATTAAATTCAACAGACATCAACGAGACTTCCTCTGAAAACGACGAATTTCCTTCAGAAATATTTGCGGGGCGAATAAGCTTGATAGCTTCGTCAATGTTAGACTTTGAATACTCTATGAGCTGTCCTCCGGTTGCACTGGCTAGTTTTTCATACACCTCCTGCTCTGTTAAGCTTCTTCGCCTACGACTACGGCAGCTACCACTGATAAAAAAATTAATTCTACATTTTTTTGCAATGCGATTGATATCACAGAGAACACTAAATGGGCATCTTTGGCGGCTGCATCAGAAAAGTAATATACATCAGAGTTAGGTAGACTGTTAAGAAGAGCTAAATAAAGACCACTCATGCCCATTTCTGGGCAATCACCACCATCGTGTGCTCTAAGGGAATTTACAGTTTGTTTTGCCACTTCAGGGTCATCTGTTGTTAATACTGGACCAACGTCTATAAGACATAAAGCAAGAAAATGTTTTAAGAAAAACAGGAAAACATTCCTGCATATAAACTTGGCGTCTTCGAAATATTGTTATTGTAATTCAACAAACTGCACCATGGATTATACGACTTTAATTTAATAGCGTCTGTTAATTAATTAGGTCTATAAATGTTTATTTTTGTTTGTCTTTTCCAACTATGCCGTTAAATACTATGGTCCCGTTTACACTATACTGGATTACTTTTCATACCAGATTAATTTTCACTCCGGAGAAAAAAAAACAAGGGTGTTTTCACTATGCATGCCGCTTCGCTCTGTTGCCAGCTCATATCCCACCGTCGCCATGGAAACAAGTGACATTTTTTGCCGATATACAGGGCATTTTTTAACTATATAACCGGGGGGCTAAAGCCCCCCCCCCCCCAGTCAAAGTCCCTTTTTTGTAAAATATAAGCAAAACATGGAATTTAGAAGGGAGGTTTGATATTCTGGTAATTGAGATTTGCTTGGTGAATCTCGTGTCCGTCTTTTATCTTTAATGCAAAACATTGTTGTAAATACCTTATTAGATTTTAAACATTTTCCAGTTGATTGCATATCCCAGACCCTATACATTTGAGTTGTTGGAAGGCTGGCTAAACAAGTTAGTGACCTCAGGGGCGTAGGAAGCAGGGAGGTAGCGGGCCCCGGCCCAACCTAATGTTTTATAGAGGGGGCGGGGTAGCTTTCGCCCCCCGCCAAAAAACCCAAAATGAATTCGAAACTAGAAGTATTTGAAATCGTATATATATTAATCAAACATCTGTAATCGATTATTACATTTCTTGTAAAGTCCATCCTGACTCACGGATAGCAAAGACTCACAAATCATAATTTAATGAAAGACTTAATGAAAGGGTCTAACAAAAGAGGTAGAGAAGACCCTGAAAATGCCATTTCCGGCGAATCTAGAGACTCAAAATTTTCAAAATATTCGGGGGCCCTAAATTTATCAAGCTTCCTACTCCCTGAGTGACCGAGTTGTCGTATTTACATAAACATACCATGCAAGTACTTAATTGAAGATTCAGTCTATCTACAGCATAATGTAATGCTGTATATCCAAAAATCTGTTTCAGAAAGTGCACGAAATGCAGTCCTAGGGGTAGAAAAATACAAAAAATTTCGGGGGGAGAATACCCCAGACCCCACTATTACATACAATACGACACCAAACGTTTTGTTACCGACAACCATCTCTCCACACTCAGTATAGTATGGTCCCTATTTGTAGATGCCCCCACTGACAAATTCTTAAAAAATGCCCTGCCGATATATACTAAAATTTATTAAAAAACAAGAAGGAAAACATGTTTTCTTTGTAAAGTATCACTTTGTTTAAAAAGCTTGACCACCAGACGTTGCTTCATTTCGCTTTAATCCAAAATTGACGAGTATTTCTTTAATTAAATTTTGCTCTTTCGAAAGCGAAAAATCAATGTTATTATCGTTTTCTTTATTTGCCTTCGCCAGAAATAGTAAATGGTTGTAAGGCGAAACAAGCAACAGCAATAAAGTATTGTAAAAGCGAGCAAATAAAGGCGACAATGTTAAAACCTGCACGCCAAAACCGATTTTGTACCGAAGCGTACCGGATTGGCCTGCTTACACTGCTCCGACACATACCGGATTACTTTTCATATCACCTTCAAAGCGGAGTGATTTTTACTCTACGTCGCGTACCGGATTACTGTGGCGTAGTGTATACAGCAGCCGAATCCGGTATGAAAATGGCTACGCCCCGATGCAATCTGGTATAATGTAAACGGGGCCTATATTACAGGTAAAAATCGGCAAAAATGTCCATTCCAGGCAGGTGGATAAGTCCTTCGTACGGAAAATTTTATCAACTTGACTGAGATTCCACCTAGCGCAAGGTGAGATCTCATCTAGCCTGACTGGCTCGTTTTTTATTTGAACATAAATTGAATTTTACATATGTTAACAAAGGACATGCGGATCTCACTCAAGTGCGGACAAATTAGCTTGCAACATTAATGACCAATCTTCATTTAGTATAATTTATTTAATTTTTTCGGTGGTGCAATCAAATTTAGCTCAGGCACGAGAGGTTGGAATGTCCGCAGACGTATCGTTTGAGCTGTAGATAATACAGCGTTATTGTTGTTGTTGTTGTTGTTGTTGTTGTTGTTGTTGTTGTTGTTGTTCTCGTCGTCGTCGCCGCCGTCGCCGTCGTCGTCGTCGTGATGGAGCTATGAGATATTGAGAGGAATTTTCTTCACCCACCCATGGCAACCCAATAGCTAGGCGTGTTAAATATTTGACTAAAATATTCAAACTTTAAAAAAAAGAAGTTTAATATGGCGAAAATGTTTAGATAACACTGCATTTCTGGTTGCCTGCTACGGGCGACGTCACTCACTGCATACTAGCTACCCAGCGGGCAAAATGACGTTTATCCAACGTTGAATCAACGTTGGAAATGACCT